CTTTTTGGGTTCTGGTTCAGTCATATCAACATGTTCTAGATTCATTTAGACTTGTGTTGAGTTTCAGCTCCACCTTTTACAGATGTGAGCAAGTCATTTTAACAGATGAAGCTTAAATGACATAATGAGTGTGAAAATGTCTGGCATAGAAGGGGACACATTGTATGTTCTTAGTAGATGGAAACAAACAGGGAAAAAGTATCAGGGCTCTCCTGAGAAGCCCTGAAGAGCTGACCTCCTACATCTATAAAGAGCTACCTGGCTCTTCCAGCTTCTCTACTTAAAATTCAACTCTTCTGGCAAAAACATGATACCACTATCCTCCCCATCATTAATCCTCCTTTAACCAGAGCTTGGGCTTTAGATTCAGACAGATGAGTTACAATCCTGACTCCACCACTTACCACCTGTGTGACCTTGGCTAAATGAACTTTTTCCTCTTTGAAGCTGTTTTCTCATCTATAAAATATGAAAATAGTACCTTCTCTATAGGATTGTTGTTAGGATTAAATAATATTATGCTTGTAAAAAGTTTGGCATATGGTCTAATATATAGTAAAGATTCAGAAAATGTTAACTATTTTTCTTGAATGATAGTAACGGTTGTAGTAGTATCCAACTGCCTGCTGATTATTAAAGTTCAAATTCCTGTGGCCCCATCATTCCTTCCTGGCCTCTCCTCCCACTGCTCCCCTATATAGTCGCCACACTCAAGCCACATTTCTCACCTCTGTGTGTCCATCCATGACCCTCCTCTCTTCTCTCATACTTGTCACCTGACTTGTCATCATCCTACCTGACTCAAGTCTCACTTCCCAACTATGCCAGCACTCTGCTCTGTTGCTCTGGGTTTCTGCAGCACTTACAGTCTGTACATGTTACTGCTCAGTCTTGCCAAATGGGAAGTCTATCTGCACTTGTCTTACTGCAGTACTCCTTCTTCCCATGGTTACATTTGATTTACCTTTGTGGGAACTGACCTTTCTCCACTATCAGCCCATGTGTTGTTCCAGGGATGGGTATACAGCTCAGGCCTTAGACAAAATCACCATGATTAATTAAGGGGTGGACACTTCTTCAAAGCTGGGCCAATAAGAATCAGTCCCAAGCCGGGCTCGGTGGCTTAGTCTGTAATCCCAGTACTTTGGGAGGCTGAGGTGAGTGGATTGCCTGAGCCCGCGGGTTCAAGACCCACCTGGGCAACTTGGCGA